GTTGTTGGTGGTCGAGTTCTGACTATTGTCACTTGTACTCTTGAGGGTGGCATTGTTTCGGCGTTGGTTATCAGTGTGGGCCATGGTGCTATTTCGCACGTTGTGGGTGCCAATACTATTGACCGTGGGGAATGTGGGCTTACTTATACTGCCATTGTTGTTGTTGGCATGATTTGGGGTCATATTCTTCTCTCTTTTACCAATGGACTTATGGCTAGGAGAGGAAAGGGTCAACTTTCGGGGGATTTTGACTTTTTTCTTGGATTATTTAGTGACATGTCTAAATCTACGGTGGTAGGTGGTATAGTTTTATTGGCTATTAGATTACAATTTAGCGGCCTTTCGGTTGGTGTCGCTCTCTGAGAAGATAATTCTGTGTGGTTAGAGAGGGGTGGTGCGGTGGATTCTACGGTGTCTCTCAAAGGGTTGGGTATAATTGCTGCTTGCAATGTCCTATTGTTTATTCCACAGTTAGACTCAGTGTGATAATTATATACGCGCCTTTCTATGACGGTCTTGTCCACCGCAACCTTTACTAGTTTATAATTTCTGGCTTGCAGTGGGGTGTGTTGGGAGTGGATAAATTTTCTGGCCTCAGCAGGTGTTTCGAACTGAAAACGAATAGGACAGCACTTTTCATGTTGACTCTTCTTCAGCCTGTAGCACTTAGTCTTGGAGTTGGGCATTTTCGCCTCACTAAGTAGGATGCGCTGTACCTTTTTTAGTGCCTCATTATCCGGAACGTTGTAGACAATAGCATTTAATTTAGCATCTAGTCGTTTTGTTACTTCTGTAGTAACAAAGTTAATTAGGTTATCCACCTTAGATATCGATTCACTGTCAAGTTTGTTAAGGTCTACAGTTTTCATGAGAATAGTTAAAGGTGTCAGTTCACAGACCTGCAGTCTGATATCACTGATCTGACCTGATAAATTGGAGATTTTGGTATTGGTATCGGAAATTCCAGGATCTACTGACTTATTGTTTTTTAAGTCCCTTAACTCGGCCTTAAGTTCTCCTATAGACAACTTTAGTAGTTCTATTTCTGAAGATAGTACTGAAACAGAGCTTGAAGGCTGGAGCTTTTCGATAAGCACATAAGGTGTAGGGAGGGTTTCTGTATGAGCAGAGGGTACTGAATTTTTGGGAGTAGTGCTAATACTAGCTGTCAGTGCAGTTTTATCCTCAGTTTCAGCTCGACGCTTACGACATACAAGTGAGTTTTGTGGCTCACTATAACCATTTGTAGGAAGTATGTTGCTTGATGTAGCAATCAACGACTTAAAATTAGTCATCAGTTTTACAGGGGATTGAGTTCGCTGCTTTTTACTTTGGTTAACCATAACTATTTGATATGAGAGTTAATAGTTATAGGTATGGAAGTAGTAGAGGACTTGTGCAAGGATTACAACAAGATAAATTTTATGTAACGAATCACGCAAAAATGTAACGCAAACGTTGGACGTCCCGCTACAGTTTTGCGTATATATTACGGAGTCTCACAGGATTCCATTCTATAACCCTCGATGTTTTTTAGTTTTCATCAGTAATCTATTATTACCTCTGAACTGTGTGCGTCTTGTCTATGGTAATGATGTAGAGACCTGGCGAGCGGTACAATGTTTACACTAAGTTACAGACAGACCCACAAAATCTGGAAGACAGAATCCCATTAAAACCTAAAAATTCTAGTCGTTTCCACTAAGTACGCAAACGACGCAGGCGGCGAGTTCCTTCCTGTGTCTTAGCAGCTTGTTTTACACAGTCAGAGCGTGATTTAAGTATCACTCTAAAGGACAAACAAGAAACAAGTGTGGATCATCTGGGTGATGTGGATAGGGTATTCTCAGTTTCGCGTTTCATTCGTAGGGAGTTAGTTGCACTCACTTCTGAAGATTTTCCTCAAATAGTGTTTGAACACACCTTGAGGATGCATATTATCACTGCCCCGCAACTACTGAGTCACTCCAATCTTTTGGAAAGGACTCCAGGAAGGGTGGTAGAAGGGATTATGGGCTTCGGGAATAAACCACATATTGAAAAGTTGCGGAAATCATTTAGACTGCATCGAGCAGCTGGCGTGTGAAATGACATAGCAGTACTACAATCTCAACACATCGCATAGTGCATACTTTATATAACTAACCTCACATAGCAATCTCTCAATGGGAAATAGCAAAGTGGCGGCTGGCAAACGGTGGAAAAAGCTGAATAGAACGTGACCGGAGATCAATATCTATTACCACACAACCAAGAAGCATGAGGAAATCAGTTTGGTTTTAAAATGGTTCGTAAGAAGAAATTTGGATACATCCTCTGCAGCGGAAGCTTGTCTTGCACAACGTCGAAGAGTGACTTAGGTCTAGTTCTGACAGAAAAATTGACACAGGCGTGGATTACACAGGTAATGTAGTGAGGGCATATTCGGTCATACACTTCACACAGAGACAGTTAGGTGCACTCACTCCTGAACTCTTTCTAAGGTTTTGCAGAACATACGTCAGACCACATCTCGAAGTGCACAATATCACTGTACCCCTACTACTTAGAAGAGAGGGGAACCTTTTGGAAAGAGTCTAAAGATGGAATAGTGGTTCTTTGAAATAAACCGTATGATGAAGAAATTAGGTCTCTTCACACTTAGCTACCGTCGGCTTAAGGGTTGATTACTGTCTATAAGATAAAAAATGACCATAATCACCCAAACAAATGTGTTCTTCCATTAGGTACTAGTGGACTTCCTCGTGAAAATCCCAGAACGATAGCCTACTAGAATGCAAAGACTCGAATGCACTCCCATTTCTTTTCACTGCCAGTTTGCCGTCCCTGGAAATCCCTACCGGCGTAACGACAGAAGACAAGGGTCAGGTAACAGATCGTTCATTGAGAAAATCAAGAGATATTTATGGATTTTTATGTTAGCAGAGAAGCAACGTTTTCTGATTGGTTTTGCTTGCTGAAGGTTGTTCTGTACTGCTTGTGACTGTTGCTGAGAAAGTTATTCATATATCTGCGAATTGTATTTACAAACGCTTAGTTCGCTGTGACTGGTTGTTGAGTTCCTCAAGGTAAGGCTTTTTTAATGTTTTTTTCTCATGACCCGATTCGGGATATAAACACTGAAGTAAATTGTCGTCTACCAATTTTGGCTTGCAGGCAGCTATCATCACACCGGCAGATTTAGCTATGGCACTGTCCGTGGACAGCTCTAAACGAAGGCTGGACACTCGCGCAGCGACACAAAGACTGCGTCCAAACGTCCTATCTCCTTTAAATCCTTTACACCATTAATGGGTAGACATCTAAACTCATCGTTTTATTTCTTCGTATTCTCTCTTGTCTTACTCTTCTGAATACTCCAATACTCGAACTATTATATTCCCCAACACAATTATTACCATTGAAATTTATATATATGGATGTATATATATGTATATATCAACTCCAAATTTTATCAGCTGTCTGTTTTTACGTTTCACTTCTTTCTTTTCTTTCATTTAGTCTAAATAAACTACACTTACTATATCTGTTATTGTTATCTCTTTTCTTCTGTCGAGGACACCAGATCACTTGCTGGTGAAAGGATCAACTCCATTCACAGTAGTAACACAGTCTCAACACACTACATACTAAAAACAACATACTTATTTCGAGCATCACTCCTTTCGGAGTCAACCAAAGCTACGACGGTTGAGTTATGGGATGAACTACTCAGAAGTTTACCGAAGAACAGGCATTTTTACCTCAAAATCAAGAGGCGAGCACAAAGAAGTCAAATTGGTTTACACCAGCTCGTAAATATGATATTGGATATCGAGCTAATGACCTTGGCGGGATTTTGTTTCTTGTTAGTGCTTTAGTGTAATGATATAAAAACTTGTATGAGATCACTAAAAGAGTTTCCTATTTTTCAGGAAGGAACGCAGACGTGGCACTGCTGGAGGAAGAAGAAGACCGATTGTCGAGACTTGTTATAAATGATAATAAATAACTTTGTACCCGGTCAGTTTAAATCTTGCGTGGTGTTAATAAAGACCTTTTCTCCCGCATCTTCGTGTTCTTCCTTCATTGGCTGTGTCTGTTGTCCGTGAGTGTTACATTTGGATCCCACCTCCGACACCAAATGTAACACTCATGGACAACAGACACAGCCAATGAAGGAAGAACACGAAGATGCGGGAGAAAAGGTCTTTATTAACACCACGCAAGATTTAAACTGACCGGGGTACAAAGTTATTTATTATCATTTATAACAAGTCTTGACAATCGGTCCTTCTTCTTCCTCCAGCAGTGCCACGTCTGCGTTCCTTCCTGAAAAATAGGGAACTCGTTTAGTGATCTCATACAAGTTTTTATATCATTACATTAGAAAATAACAAGTTCACTATATAGTGGTCGAGTTTACTGTCTCTTTTCCTCTGTGTTGTAGGCAGTAAACCTTTGTAATAATTTTTGAAGCAGACACTGTAAGTTTAACTTACAAGTGTAGCTGGAATGAAGCACTTTTGAAAACCCATGAGTTTGCTGATAAATTGTAAATTTCACTGCTTATATAGTTATATGAGACAATTTCCAGTCATGGAATGACCTTGGATGAACGATAATGTGCAATCACTGCCATGTCAGTGTCTATACAAACGTCGGGAGTTAGTGTTAAAGGTTAGGATTTAGGGTTAGGTTACAAGTATAATTTGGGTGTGGGATCAAACTAAGACTAATTTAATGGCTACTATTGTTTATCTTTATCACATTTGACTTACAGATTAGCAGCTACTTAATTGCGTTTATTAAATTATCTGGAATAAGTGAATTTAAAACCTCAAATTTGTTAATTTATTGTGATTGTGAATGTTATGGACGTGATGTAATGTATTTAACGGAACAGTTGTCTGACTTGATGAATAAATCTGACATGAGATGACAATTCAGAAGCCGAAATTCTAACTCTTTCTTAATACTAGCACTTGCGCGTTGATATAGTACAATTCTTAACTTTTGAGTTTTTTTTTTAATTCTTACTTGTGTCCTAAAGTTTCAAGTATCTGTTGTTTAGTCATTGTATGTTCTCTCTTCTTTTGAAGGTGAAGAATTATCAATAACATAACATTAACTGATGTTGAAATGTCTAGATCAACACTACCAGTTGATGTATTCTTTAAAAACTTTCGATTTCTGAAGAAAACTGTTGTTGTGAAAAATGATGACTATAATGCTGCATATAAAGCTCTATCAAAGTAAGTTTATATTCGATTCACATATGTTCCATTTTAAGTATAGAGTTATAAAGTTTACAGCCAGTATATATCGTTTCCAAATTTTCCTCCATATTTCTACCAATAAACCCTCTAGAATAACTCTTATTTGATATAGTTGTACGAAGGTTTTCAGTTTCTTTGTCAACCCTGTTTTAAGAGCAGATTTTCAGGACTTCGAAACATGGAAAATGGACAAGGTTTTTTCCTCTACTTTGAGGCGTCAATGTTAAGGCTAGTATATTGCCTCGAAAAAGTTGGCTTTCGGTAGACCTGCCTTTTAAAATGTTGCGATTCTTCCAATTAATCTCTCTCTTAAAAATGATTATCTATATTCTTATCCTATGTGTATCTTGACTGAGTAACGTTTGGTACCACTTAATACCGTTTGTCATTTTATTATTATGATAATTCCGTTGGGTTCTGAGTAAAACTTAGGGCTTCAACAACACATCTCCACTTTGCATTATTCTCTCCAGTCCTCTTTAGCCGGTCCCACGATTACCCAAAGTCCCTCATCTCCTCTTCGCATGACCTCCATACCGCCCTCGGACCAACGCCCCATTCGTCGTCTCCCATTCGAGTTCCACTCGACCGATGGCCTAGCACACGGTGTTATTCGACGGTCTTTTCAGAATATGTCCAATCCATCTCCATTTTCTGCTGCATATTTGTTGAACGGCAGTTTCTTGTTGCTAATTCTTGCTGACCATTTGGTGAAAGTCTACAACAGCTGTTTGGAAATGCTTTCTGTCACGCCCCCGTCAAGTTTCAGACCCTTAGAGAATAACCGATTGACTTAACTTTGGTGTTGAAAATCCGAAATTACTACTTAATGCTGAGTTCAAAAGATTCCCAAACTGATTTCAGAGTGATGAAGGTGTTTCTAGCTTTACCGATTCCGGTTTTCACATCCTCATCTTTGCTGTCGCCTGTAGTTGGGACGATGCGTCGTAGATAGGTGAAGGAAGTAACCTCTTTCAGATATATTCTGTTCATAGTGATTAGGGTTGGTTGTTGTTGGTTGGTTGGTCATATTCATTACCTCCGTCTTCTCTATATTCATTTGAATTTCTGTCTTCGCTGCCTGCTTCTTCGACCAGTTTGTTGATTTTCACCTGCAACTCTTCGAGTTTGTATGACATTCAACATAATTCATCCACATGCGAAATCCAGATCTTTTACAGTCTATATATCGGTCCAGCGTATTCCTGCCTTCTCACTCCCATGCGCAGTCTTCCTTATAATCCAGTTCACCGCAATTAAGAATATCATCGGTGATAATAGTCAGGTAGTCTTGTTTTAATCCTGTTTTCACCTCGAAGGTCTTACTGACTTTTCTTTTGTGGATCGTCTGGCACATGGCATTGTCACATAGCGTGGTGGTCGAACCAAAACATGGCTTCATCAGTCAATGAAATCCACAACAGTTAGTTTAAGCCAGTCACGTAGGAGGGTGTAGACCTCCTGACTGGTTGGGGTCCTCGGGACGGTAAAAACCAATGAAGGCTGGAGACAATTGGTGATATGGCTGTAAATCGTTCTGAGTGATGGCTCAGATGCATCCACTCCTTGTGACATGCTGACCACTTCACCTATTCGGGAAGTTGTATCAGTACCAACGGACGAAATTTCAGCACGGATCCAAAAAGCTCGAGCTGCTTTCGCTAACTTACGCCATCTCTGACGTGTATACTGCTCAGCAGTTCACTCTGTCCTTCTCTGTGGCTCTGAAACATGGCCAATACGAGTTGAAGACATGAAAAGGTTGACTGTTTTTGATCATAGATGTCTACGATCTCTTTCTCATGTTAGGTCAGTATGTAAGTCAGTAAGGTCAGTAAGTATGGTATGTGCTTTGCACCGTCTAAGTACTGTTACAAGATTGGCAGGAGCCTGTACCTACACTCACTCTTGCGGGTGAACCGCTTGAAGTTGTTGATAAGTTTGTGTATCTGGGTAGTTGTGTGAGTGCTGGCGGAGGGGTGACGGATGGGATTTCTAACCGTATAATAAAGGCTAGGGTGGCATACATCAACTTGAGCCACCTCTGGCGCCGTCGCGTCGTTAGCCTGGCTGTCAAAGGTCGGGTATACAATGCTTCGGTGTGGGATGTCTTGCTCTACGCCTGTGAAACCTGGCCTCTCCGAGCTGAGGATGTGCGGCGACTCTGCGTGTTCGGTCATCGCTGTCGCCGCAAGATTGCTTGCGTTCGATGGAATCATCGCGGGAGTAATTCTGAGGTTCGGTGGCGTGTGTTTGAACACAGTGGAGATCACCATTGAGTGTCGTCATCTGGAAACACCAGCTCCGGTGGCTTGGACATGTGCTGAAAATGTCATCCCAGAGGCTTCCGTACAGGTCTCTTCGCTAGCCCTGGGACGGGATGGAAAAGGCGGAGGGTTGGTCAGTCCATGACGTGGCGTCGTGGGATGAAGGATATTTGTGCTAGATTAGCATCGGTTGGTGTGTCACGACTCCCTGGTTGGGGTCCGAGAGATAGCTCGAATCGTTGGCTCGAAACGTTATCGGATATGGCCAAGAATCGTAATCAATGGCGAACGTGTTGCAATTTCCTTCTTTCTTCCCTTCCTGATGATAGCTAATGTATACTGTTTGAACTTGTTAAACATGACTGTTTTCCTTCCAGATGAATTTTTTATCCGTTTTCTACTTATATTTTTACTTTTAATCTATGTTGTTTTATTATTGTGTGGCGCATCTTTCTTGGTGCCATATTGTGCCAAGTTTTTTTCTGCGATAAAATAAAATAAAAATAAAATCTCATGTTAGGTGGTATAATAAGGTAAGTAATGTTGACGTTAGGCGTACAGTGTTGGGCAAAGAGGGAAAATCAATCGACGAGGCTATAAAGTTACATAGATTGAGATGGCTAGGTCACGTGCTGCGTATGCCTAACCATCGCCTCCCCTGACGGGCATTACTAGCTGATATAGGTGCAGGTTGGAAAAGAGTAAGTGGTGGCCAAACAAAAACATGGCATCAATCCATGAAATCCTTGACAGTTAAACTGAGTCAGGTAGGGAGATGTAGACATCCGAATTGGGGCCCTCGGGACTCTAAGAATCAATGGCTGGAGACAATAGGTGACATGGCTCAAAATCGTTGTCAATGGCTTACGCAGATGTATTCAGTCACTGTAATCTTGCATCTTCCTTTCTACCATTACTCATTCTGTTTCACTCTTATACTTGTCAAAACTCTATTGATTCTCTTCACTCATCTTCTTGTCTACCTTTGTGTGCTATTTGGAACGTGGCAACTCGAAGTGGTGCACTTTGGTGCCAAGTTCTATGTTGAATCCAGTCAGACGGACTCATTGTGACTTATAATTTCCAATAAAACTATATTGTCCTTCGATATTACTATTCTGTTTGCCTCACATCTCTGTTTACTGTCTATATTTTGCATTTGTTTTTACTTTCTTTTGCTGTGTGTGCTACATGCAGTGTGGCGACTCGAACTGCTTCACATCGGTGCAGTTTTACGTTGGAACCAGTCAGTCAGTCAGTCATTGTCATATAGCTGTTGAATAAGGTTGCGTAGTATAAATGTGACTGTACAACTGCTTGAAAACCAAGTTATCGGAAAGGAATATTTTTTCATTGAACAAAACTGTGTGTTTTTCTTTCCTTGTTGTTACATGTACTCAACTCATCATCCACGGTTTTTTCCTTTCTTTCTTTCTTTCAGAATACTGACTGTAGATAAAGTTAAGAATACAATCAGAGCTCAAGAATATTATGAAAGACCTACAGTATGGAGACGAAGAATAATGTATGAACGTTGTAAACGTATATACGATTCGGAAATGGCTAGAAAAATTTCACTGGTAGTACGTACAAATAGAATAGATCCATGGCCACGTTAAGAGACCTATATAAGAAAAAAGAATTGTATTAAAACATTTTCATTTATGTACAGATGTACAGTAGTTAGTTATGTAATATTAATCTATGATATTTGTACGTATATAATGTAATTTTCTTTTCTGTTCAGACACATTTTTGTGCATTAGGTGTTGAAATGATTTTGTGATTTGTAGTATGACTACCATTAGCTCTTTTCCAACCTGATCTAATAATACGTAAACTAAGAAGTGCTCGGAAAGTGCAAACACTAGAGAAATAGGCATTCTTTAGACCACGTGGAGGGTGTATTGATAATATTTTCACCCTTCGACAGATTCTGGAACATAGGCATACTTACCGGCGGCGTCCAACAATCGTCATATTTCTTGACTTAAAGGCGACATTCGATTCTGTCGACTGAGAGGTACTATGGCGATGTTTGACTGTGAAGGGAATGCCGAGAAAATACAAAACACTGATCAAGGCAGTCTACTCGAATTCATGCAGTCAGGTAAGAGCTTACGGCGAGTTGTCAACTCAAGTGGTGACAACTAGTGGTTTCTATCAAGGATGTTCACTGTCCCCATTTCTATTTAATTTTATCATAGATGTTCTTATGGACTTCACCGACTTAGGGTTTGATTTTTTACCATCAGCGAATAATCTCGTTGACCTAGATTATGCAGATGATATAGTCCTTCTACGTGGTGAAGACGCTGACAAATTGCAGAGTCTTCTGAACACCTTAAGCTGCAATCTGCGGATGTTTGGCATGAGATTCGCTCCTGTCAAATGAATGATGATATTATAGGATTGGACTACATTGAATCACTTCCAGCTTAAAGATAGGCAGGGGGAAAGTGTTAGAGCTCGTTGAACACTTCAAATATTTAAGAAGTTGCCTCAGCTAACAACAACGGGTTGGTCACTGACGAAATCTCACCAGAGATACAGAAGGCTCGTTTCGCATATGCCAGTTTACGCCGTCTCTGGCGTAGACAGTGATATCCCGCTGGCTGTGGAACAAAGGGCGTGTGTACTACTCAGCAGTCCGCTCCGTCCTCCTTTATGGCTGTGAGACCTAGCCATTGAAAGTGGAAGGCATGAGAAGACTAGCTGTCTTTGATCATAGGTGTCTGCGTCCTAGCTCCCGTGTTAAATGATGTAACAGGATGAGGAATATTGGGGTTAGGCGTCGGTCGAGTGTTAGGTAAGGAAGATAAATCAATAGACGAGGTTGTGAAGTTACATCGATTGAGATGGTTAGGACATGTGTCACGTATGCCTAGCCTAGCCATCGCCTTCCTTGACGGGCAATGTTACCTGACATAGGATCAGTTTGGAAAAGATCTAGTTGTGGTTAAACCAAAACATGGCTTCTTCAGTCAGTGAAATCCACAGCGGTTAGTTTAAGCCACGTAGGACGGTGTAGACTTCCTGACTGGTTGGTGTCCTTGGGATGGCAAAAACCAATGGATATAGAAAATTGGTGATACGGCTCAAAATCGCTCTCAGTGATGGCACAGTTCCATTCACTCTTTGTGTGTAGTCATTATATTATGATTATTATTATTTCCTTTAATTCCTAGAGGAACATAGGGCTTCAGCGATGCGTCTCCATTGCGTTCGGTTCTCTGCTAGAGTTTTCACCTGGCTCCAGGTCTGCCCACATGCTTTCATCTATTCTTCGCATGATCTCCTCCAGGTCACCCTTGGACAACCAACTCGTCGCTTCCCTTTCGGGTTCCACTCGAGGGCTTGTCTAGTGATGTCACTTGATGGTTTCCTCAGAGTGTGGCCAATCCATCTCCACTTCTTCCTGCCTATTTGTTTCACAATCAGTTCCTGGTTGGTTCGCTCCCAGAGATCTTTGTTGCTGATCCTTTCCGGCCATTTGATCTTGAGTATTGAGCGAAGACATCTGTTAATGAAGGTCTGTAGCTTGTTTGAGGTGCTCTTTGTGACACGCCAAGTCTCTGATCCGTATAGTAGTACTGACTTCACATTGGAGTTGAAAATCCCGATCTTATTTTTGACGCTGAATGATGTTGACCTCCACACAGACTTGAGAGTAGTGTAGTCATATCCAATAAAATTGTATTGTTCTTCCATATTACTATTCTTTCTTCCTCACTGTGTGGTGCATGGAGGGAGTGTGTCAACTGCTACTGCTGCATATCTGTGGAAAGTTCTTGTATGCTGAAACTAGTCGGCAATGAGCATCTTCAACCTCGAGGGAGATAGAAATTCACTACAGCGGTGCAGTTGAAGACTTCACCATTGATCTGCTATTCAGGTTGACTACTGACTTTTGGCGATGGTATGACTGTAATGGACACATGGACACACACACACACATCGATATGGAATAATCAATGTCATCAGTCTGTGTATGTCAACTGCAATGAGGTAGTTTATGTATCATCACTGGAATTGTCAAGGAATAAAAGTAGGAAGTGTACAAGATGCCGAAAATAGGCTAGGCAATTTGCAGAAATATTCAGTGACAAATATATCCTCGATTCATTGAGGGACTCACCGTTGATCTTGTTATTGTTTTCCATTTACTACATGATGATTTCACTTCCGCTAAAGAAAAGATTCTTTTAAACTGTCAAAATTGTTTCACATCCAGTGTAATGCGACAGTGGTCTGACAGATCAGCTGTTAATAGGATAAAGTTGTCATTAGTTATTTGTATTAAGCTCACAAGCTCACTTAGAAATAAATCACGTCGGTTAGCGAATAATGTGCGTCGGTGGCATAGTGGTTAGGATGCTCGCCGACCATGCACATGGTCCGGGGTTCGGTCCCCGACCGACGCACTCCTTTACCTCGCTAAGCCAGAAATAATGCTGGTGAAGAGGAAAGGTTGGGCATGAGGCTAGCAACCCCATCCTGTAAAATAAACACTGCTACAGCAACTTCAAGCCACTAGCTTGAAGTCCTATGTTCCAGCGGGGAACGTGAAGGAAAAAAAACGAATAATGTATAGGCAATCAAACGAAATGCTTAAGTTTATCTAATACCCTGTCTGCAATGGTTGTCAGGTCAGTTACATAGGTGAAAGTAGTAGAACGAGGTCAGTCAGACTAGTGGAGCACAAAAGCCTAGTAGCAAAATCTAGATTAGTTGACCCAAATAAGATAAGAGATCTGAAATCTAATATAACAACAGGGTGGAGGGATAGATTGATAACGGAAGCTTTATTTATCGACTCAACTGAGAATACGTGCAACCTATTCTGGATATTTGTGCTTCGGCGACACAGCGGTAGAATGGTCACCGACCATGCATGTGCCCCGGGGTTCGATCGCTGGCCACCGACGCACTCTTTCACCTCACTAAGCCAATAATAAGACTGGTAAAGAGGGGACGTTGGGCATGAGGCTAGCTACTCCATCTCATAAAAGTAAATATCAACGCTACGGAAACTTCAGGCCTCTAGCTTGAGGCCTTATGTTCCACTGGGAATGTAAAGGAATAAAAATAAATTCTGGATATTTGGAAAATTCTACTACTCCTATGACAAATGCGAGGAAAGAAAGAGAACTATGCAAATTAAATTTCGAAGTTGTGTAGTTACGTGATTGTGAACAATGAATTCTGTTCAAAATGTCATCCTTTAAGTAATACTGCGTTCCAAGTGGACCATGGGAACTCAGTCTTAAGGAGTTGAAATTTCAGTAGTGGTAGTCTTGCTAGCATTATGCCCAACCCTCCCTGTTCTTCGTGATTTTTCCCACTAGGTAGGATTTAGGAGTATATCTTCCGGGAGTCGAACCAGGGATCACGTGCGTGGTTGGTGGGCTGAACCATTACCACGAGGGTCAATCGTACTGATAGAACTGTCTGCTTGTATGGATACTTGAAGTAATTTGGTGGAGGATGACTAGCAGTAGAGTCCAGAATGCGCATTTCGTCCTTTTTGGGACTCATCATCTGGAGGTACCTGATACTCGTCGTACAAGAGGTGACTGTCGTGGCCCAAGTGGTCTGGTGGGTAGCGATTCGGCGTTTGAAACTATGGACACTGGATTCAAGCCTCAGTGGAAATACCATCGCTCAGTTACTGGGGAATGCAGGTACATCTAGTTGGCTGTCGAGTCCCAATTGGTACAAAAATTCCACTACTAGTCACCATCCATCAAATTACTTCAACCTAAGCGGTTCATTTGAATTTGTCAAGATGGTCGCTTATTTGAGGAGCTTTATCAGGTCTTTGACATTTAACTACTTAGGTCAGTTTTAATAGCGACGTGATGTTCAGCTACTGAGAGGTAGTTTGCTCTACTCTTCTCTACAAGTGGGAACAATGAAGACGAAGCTTTTGACACCAAATGCCTCTCTCATGTTAGTTGAGGCAATCTGCTAGGTAACAAAGAGATTAGATCTAGAGTACTATGTAATGGGGGCAAGTCAACCGGTAAGGTTATGAGACTTCTTCTACAGAAATATCTGAGACATCCTCTGCTGCATAAGTCAAACCACCGTCTTTGCCTGTGAGTAGTTTTTTCTGATGTAGGAGTAGTCGGAAAAAGATTTAACAGCGGTGAAATCAAAACATGCCATCAATCCACAAAGTCTTTAGCCATTGAAATGCGCCATCTGGAATGTGTGGACAGTCTTCTGGTAGCTAAGAATCAATAGTTGTAGGCTGCCGTTGAAATGGTATATGAGCTTTTTGGACGGATACCTCAATTGCACTAGGATTGTTAGCTTAAAGCTACTTGTTTTGATGGTGGCCTAAAGTAGAATCTCGAATGTGCGTTCCGTCCCATTTAGGACTCGTCAGCTTGGTGTACCTTCCAATCCCTCCGGACCCCGTAAATGATAGTTTACCCACTGGGAAACGATGCAGCACCTACGCTTGAAATGTTAAAGCGTTACCCACCCCTAGGTCCCTGGGCTACTGATAAGTTAAGTAAGAGGCAGGGTGAGGAAAAAAGCTGAAAATATGCTCTGTTACAAGCCTCAACATTTCAGAAATAATTATGTCACATCCCATAGTACATATCAACTTATGTGGGTGTGGTCACACGTACAGAGGGGGGGAGTTATCGCTCTTTGCAGTTGAATGCAGGAGAACATTTATCCGAATTTCTTAGAAAACCATTTGAA